ATTGGTGTTTTTTCATACGCGCAGGCCGGCATTTCCTATACTGTAATGTTTTAGGTGGTGCCTTCACGACTTTGGGCTGGGGCTGGACGAGGAGCAGAGCGGCATCCTGTTCGGCAAGTACGAAAGGGACAACAGCGGCCTCGTCCAGTGAGTTACAGCCTCTCATATGCGCCAAGTGTGAGGTCGTCAAGTCGTCTGGTTTAAGAACGACGAATGAGTCAAACGCAAAGGAACGTGTGTCTGCAATCGAGTGTGTAAAGTGTTGAACAGGGTCTTACGGCATGACGTGCTGAGCATGGTCGCACGATTTGGTCCCGCGAGGACTACCTCGATACGGTGAAAGGTTGGCTCGTCGAGTAAATTGCTGGTTACGAAGGGTTGTTTGGGACACAGCAGTTTTTTATGAAACCTCGTAACAAAACACGGCGCAAAATGAACGATGTCGCTACAACATCTGGCAACTAAAGACTCGCATTCAAGGCAGGTTTCTGCAGAGACAGAGATTATATACTACCACAACAGCCGGTACTCCCTGACCAAATTGCACTTTCTCACAATCATGGAACGTTAGAACAAGCCTCCCCCCCCCGCCCCGCCTCGCACGTTGTGTTAAAATGGTCAAGCACCCTCGAGGCGGTTATACAGTGCTTACAACTGTCTCTGGAAGTGAAAGCACCAGAAAATAAATTAAGTCATACGCAGCTGTCATCCGTACGCAAGGAAGTAAGCACAAGATGCCGAACACCCTTAGCAGGATGCAGCGCACCCTTCATGCGACTCGCCGAATATCTCACGGCGCTTCGCGCTTGGTGATGTGAGAGCCTGGTCCGGTGAGAACCCGGCGTGCTCCGTCCCGGCTTTGTAGGGATGCGAGGTCAATGGTCTAACGGCTACGGAATGCACGACTATGAGTACACCCCCCCCTTCATCCGTGCAAAACATGACCGCATCGTGAGCGACCTGCTTTCTGATTTGGTTTCTTTCGCGCATGCGCATCGGTCGGTGGCATCATAACCGATAACCCTCTAAGTGGGTTTACCTACAACTGGTTATGTTTTTCAGAATCGAAAACTTCCTGTCCGGACTCCGAGTCCCGCTGAGCGACCACCGGAGAAATATTGTGAAGGAGGCGTTCGGCGGTTTCAATCCCAACGGGAATGACAACGTGAGCAATATACACATATACACCCTTGCCGCTCCAAATTCACTCACGAGGGAACAAATGGGAAATGTGCACAAGCTACAGTATTGTTGCGGGTATGCAACTGTGTGGTAGAGCGAATAACGTGGTTAGTGGGATGAAACGGCAGTACTTAGGGTGGTGGTGGTGGTCCACGTGGGCTCTGCGGTAACGGTATCCCGTGGTAAAAGAACAATTGGTAGCACGGGGTCCTTGGCGGCACAAAGATACGTCGATACCCACAACGCGCAAAGCTTGTACGTTGTTGACTTGGCAGCATTATGGTACAAGGTTATGACGCCGGGAATTCTACTACCTGCCGTAAGAGTGCGGGCGCACGCACACGTGTGCGATCGATCATTTTTAAAGATCTATTTCCTCTGCAGTCCAACCAAGAAGCTGCCATTGCCGAGCCGCATGTGTAAGGAAGACTCTCGACGAGTTCTTTCCAAAACCACCCTTTCGGCACTGGCGGCCTCTTGACTGTGGGGGAATCCACCTACAAGTATTTAGTTGAGTCGATCGCACACCTGCGCGTTGTATGTGACGTGCGTTAAGAGGCACGACAAACTCTTGGAGACGATGTATATGTCTTGTCCTGAATACTTGGGTAGTATCTCCGATGGATGAATGTTCTGGAGGTCAACCGTTTATCGACCTGCGGAAGAACGTAACAGTCTTGATCCTCCCCAACATCGCTTACGGTATGCGACTGCTAAAGGTGCGCCTAGATGTCTTGCAGCGCTGTTTCGACGCCGAGGCAGCTGGGACGGCTCTCACCGGCGGTGTAGCCACACCCCCCTTGGAAACCTTGGATGCGTTACGCGCGGGGCTGGGGGTAGGTGGGGCATCGAGGACGGGAAGCGTGACTCAAGCCGACTTCGAGCGGTTTCATGAGGTAGGTACTACTTCTGTGTGCCACAACGAGAGGAAGAGTAGGTGCTTCTCAGTACATTTTACACCGCTCTGTTTTGTTTGGAGAATCGTCCTCAACGGAGGCTGGGGAGAGAGATGGGACCCTATTGAAGGTCACCTACACAGCAAAAGTTGGTGCTATTATAGTGGTCTAGACGAACCGTGTTTTGGTAAAATCGGGATTTGCCCTCGTGATCTGGCGGTATCTTCGAAACCTTGGGATGGTCCAAGGTCGTGGGTCCAAATGTGGGCATGCCACAGATATTTGGACCTTCCTCCGGGTGAAGTCAAACTCTAGTTGTCGACGAGGGAGAAAGGTTGTCAAATCCTTCTCGCCACTACGGCTCAGAGGGCAACGACAGCGTTTGACTCAGGCGCACACGCTTCTCTGGATAAGGAATTCTACGCATGTACATAGTAGTGGTGTAGTCTTGTTCCTCTTGTCCTCCTCGCAAATGTGAATCCGGAGACTGGATCCCGTCATCGTCCAACTTCTCCGAGTTCTGGGTAGTCCGACAATTTGTCATGCTGTAAGAAGGATTGTGCCTCTCATAGTCTACTAGCGCGGTCAATGACATATATATGTACTGCCAGAGTAAAAAGATATAACCCCCCCCACCCCTCCCCCGGAGCCGATTTTTGCCATCGGGGTTGGGTTTTCGTCGCTTGGCAACGACGTTGTAAAACAAGCCGCCCACCCCTGTGCCCCCTCCCCCCGGTGTTTGCCATCGGGAACGGGTTTTCGTCGCTTGGCAACGACGCCGTAAAACAAGCCAAGTCACTTCGTGAACTCGGCAACCAGGTTGTTACCGTTTTTTTTTACCTCCGGTATTTTATTGGCGGTAACCATAATGGTGGTCGAGTAGATCATGTTGTGCGTGGTCGAGAACCCTCACTCCGCGCAAGGGGGGTCATCGCACCACGTTGTGTTAAATAGGTCAAGCACCCTCGAGGCGGTTACACAGTGCTTACAAGTGTCTCTGGAAGTGAATACACCAGAAAACAAATGAAGTCATACGCAGCTGTCATCCGTACGCAAGGAAGTAAGCACAAGATGCCGAAAACCCTTAGCAGGATGCAGCGCACCCTTCATGCGACTCGCCGAATATCTCACGGCGCTTCGCGCTTGGTGATGTGAGAGCCTGGTCCGGTGAGAACCCGGCGTGCTCCGTCCCGGCTTTGTAGGGATGCGAGGTCAATGGTCTAACGACTACGGCATGCACGACTATGAGTACACCCCCCCCACCGCCCTTGTCACGTTTCATGGCCGTGATGATGACGATGCTGATGTTGATGGTGGCAGGACCTGTGTGTCGACGTGGAGGACGACACACTATTTGAGGACGTCGTCAAGGCAGCTTGGCAAACAGCAGCAGCAGCAGCGCCGGCGGCGTCTGGATAGACAAAACTATCGAGAGCAGCGACGATATAGGATATCGAGGATATTTTGACGCTTGGGCAAACGCGAGGAACAACGCCGAAAACAAAAACGATGTGCTGGTGTAGATAGGCGTACCGATTCAGATGATACTACCCAGCCAGGTGGACGGCGGAGCCTACTGTACGCAGCGAATGGTGAAGGAGTGCCAATCAATGTAGAAATGTAACATATTGTCTGGAATACGTGTGGTGTTCTCCTTCGGTCTTGAACTACAGTATTCTACTGCAAGTAGCTCATGTACCATGTAGTCTAGTAGGCCGTAGCTCGCTCTCACGGCACCAAAAACAAAAAGATACCGAGGATCTTGCAGCGGATCAGCACGGTTGGTTGCCCGAGGCAAGCTGCGTTTCCAAACTACAGCAGTCTCACAGCTTGCACGCACGCACGCACGGGGAGGAGGTGTAACTGTCACGCACGCGTTCTCGCTGTCTTTGACATCACACGTCCAACTAAAGAGCTGGCCAAAAACGTCAACAGGCAAGTCCCATCGCTCACTGCGGTCGGACAGAGCGACTAGATTGTACTCCTCCGTACTACGCATACTTTCAAGTAGTACGGATTGATGGGTTCGAGGTTGAACTTTTCCAACTCGTCCGAAAGGAGGCGACGCCCGAGCAGGGGAGGGAATGGCTTCGAGCGCCGCTTGAGCGTGCGTTGGCCGAGCGTCGCATTGACTTCTACTTTCGGCTGACGGTTTGCTCCGTACGCAGTCTTAAGCTTGATAGGTTCGTTCGAGGTTGAGATTTTCAAGCTCGTCCGAGAGCAGGCCACCTCGGAGCAGTGGAGCAGTGGAGGGAATGGCTTCGAGCGCCGCTTGAGCATGCGGCGGCCGAGGGTAACATGGATCTATTTTCAGTATATTCAAATGATAAATGAAAATGATCAGTGAGAGGGCTTGTAGACCTATGGTCTAGACTAGGTGGTTCTTTACTTCTGTAGACTACTTCTCTGTCCCCTCCGCAATGCGAGCCTTGCCGGCTCACTGCTGTACAGCAGTTCCTGTGAATTTCCCACCATTCCCAAGCACGCAAGCTCGCAAGCACACACCAGCACACACCTACCTTTCTTTGCATCAGCGGCTCTCTAGGTTCGGGCGAGTGTATGTGTGGGGCTATGCTGATAGTGTATGTGTTACTACCTACTCTGCTGTAAATGTTGGATTCGTCGATACGGCTGCTGCTGTCTGTGTAGAAAAGCCGCTGACATGATGACTGTGCTGGATCTTGGGAGTGTACGATTTTCGAATTTGGAGGATAGACTAACTATGCAGCATACCACGATATGCTGGCCTGTTTGGGCTTGAAGTGCCCCTTTTCGCTGTCCTCCTGTCTTTGCTTTAGTGGCTTCCTAGATTCGGGCGAGGGTATGTATGTGGAGCTATTGATGTATGTCTCTGTGAAAGGACACTGGTATTCGCAGTTAGAGCAGTGTGCATTTTTCTCATTTTGGTCGTTCCAGGGACCTCGATATAATTTCCCGCTGGCACTAACGTCTTTTCATTGGCCACCGGGTAGCGCGGTCGATGCGAATAATAAAGACACAGCTACCTATTGACTTGCCAACACCTGGCGTGGAGGAATACAGGGCGGCAACTCCATGGCATGCCACAACATCAGCGTTTACAAATGATCAACCTATGATCTGTCAGGACGCCTGTAGACCCAAATGGTTTAAGCAGCAATCTCCACAAGGTACCCACTTTATTGCGGCAGCATTGATTAGCGTTGCTGTCGACGAGCCATGCCGTGGGCTGGCAGCGACTTTCAATCTAAATTTCGTTCAGGATAACGAGCTCGTTGGACTTTTGAGGACGTGGTGCAGCCAAGAAAATAACACACTCAGAAGCCTGTTCAGAACACGCTCAGAAGCCTGTTAAGAAGAAAACAATTGACTCGCCGCCAACAGGTTGGGTTCCGTTATAACACCTTGAAGCCTCGAGAAAATGAAGAGAACGGCTCATAAAAAAGGGGAGGGGGCGTGGTGGAGGTAACCTTAACAAAGGTCGGTTCTCTCCCACGTCCACCGAGGAAGATTCCCTCTCTCTGTCGTCCTATGTTGAGGTGCTAAACGTAGTCTATTTCCCCAGGGTGCACCCTGCAGCTGCTTTGTCCGGTGGGCTGTGGTTGATTTGTAGAACCTTCGCTAAGGTATGCAACAGAGGAGTGCATTGTAGACAACCGCCGCATCATAGTGAAAATCTGCGGACGACGCTGTTTTTTTACTAAGCACATACTCTGAGAGTATCAATACACACTTACTAGAAAGAACATTCTTGAATATTTCCTACATGGTAAAAGCCCTTACCGAAAAAAATCAAAATTGACAACCCTCGGTCAGTGCTGTCCTTTGGCTAATTCAAGCAACCGCTATGCCTTCCATCCCCCAAAAGCAAAAGACATATCGGTTCACATACAACTCTAGGCGTTTTCGTGGCCGACACACGAACATATTAAAGAACAGTCAAGGGAAAAGGGCCTCCGCTCCCGTCGGGAAAAAAAAAGTCTACAAAAGCACGTCGGCCTCTCCCCATCGCATACAATAAATACCCATTCGAAACCAGCTCAACCTCGCGCATCACAAACATACACACACGATCATCACACCATTGTATCGTACTCATTGCCCAATTTCTAGCAGCCACGTAACCATGGCAAGCTTGCCTCTGCCGCTCCGCTCCTAACGTCTGCGTGAGCGCTCTCCATTCCCCCACCCCTCCTCTTCTCGCCTATGTAGAAAGGGTCTATTCTTTGTGACAGCTCTTCCGTGAGATTTTCGTGCATGCGTTCAACCGTGTGCCAAGCTCCCAAACTAAGCGAATGCCCAGCTGGTCGTCCTCATCTCATGCAACGCTACTCTTTGCTTCTGCACGAGCAACCGTCAGCCGTCCGGTGCTGATGTGCTCCACAAAGATGCGAGTCTTGACGCCTCCGTACAGAGACAGAAACACCTGCGGTGCCATTTGAGACGGATTACACAGAGCGGGGGATGCCATGTGTCAACAGTTTTGATGCAAAGCAAGATGGCATTGTGGTTCATATTTTGGAAAGAAGGTACTAGTATTTTTGAAGGCGCGCGGGACGCACACACCTGCCGTGGTGTACTGGCCGGCTGGGCCGAGGCAAAGAGTCCAGACAGCAATGACGGTGTACCAACCTCGAGCTGGATACAACATAAGCTCGGGCACAAACCATAAATGACATAAGAATCCCGAAGGAGCAGGACCCAAGACGCACTACTTTTACTTCGTATATTCGGCTACGGCGGAACAGCACATGCAAGGGAACGTACGGATCTACCGGACTTCAATTAAGGTTAGTCGCGGGGTTCGAATCCCCAGGCTGCACTTGAGGTGGTGCTTTTCCCAACCGGGACCCTGGATTACTCTTGGCTAGAGTGTGCCCACCATCTTGGGCTTGACGACGGTGATCTCTCCGTGGAACTCTTCTCCTGTCACGCGCGACTTCACCACCACCGGGTCTCCTCTCACAAACGTTACGCCCCGCACGCGGAAAGAGTCCTGCAATACGGTCACCTTCGTCCAGTGGGAGTTGTCTGGCGTAGCGTACCGTCACGTCGCGATGGGGACGGGGGTCGGGTTTGGGGTAAGAGTTACAGGAGTAATTTTACCTGACGCGCTTGGGTTGATTCAGAACACGGTTATGCAATACGGCAGAGAAATGCGATAGGTGACGTGGGGGGTGGGGGGTTGTGGGTTGGTTTGTGTCGAGAACCAAAACTCTAGTTTGCCTGAAACGTTTGTAGTGTGAGACAGTAGTGGCGCTAAGGCTGTCGTCAAGACAATATCTGGAGTCACGCTAGGGTCAAGGTGGTCCGATATCGTGAGAAAGGCGAACACCTCGACAACCGCCGCTGAACGTATGCCAGGGTGGGGAATCCCGGAAAACAGCACAAGACACGTATGCGGGCGTAGAGGCCGACACTGGTGGGGACGATAACCGCGCATACACATACAGCGCGGGGGCTGAGGGGGGCGGATGTCGAACGACGACGCCTCCAGCAGGGAGCAGTTGGCTCCGCAGAAGGCTCGGAGACTAAATATGCAACACACCGCACAAAAACAGAGACCGCAAACGAGACGCAAGAAAAAGAACAATCGCCCCCGTGCAGAACTATTGCAGGTCGGACCCACAAGACGGCATAGAATATTCCATGTTAACGGACGTTGGGCAAAGCGTAGCTACAGCAAGCTAGCGATGCTGCCGTGGTGCTCCGCGGATCGGTCACGCTCTCAAGGCGATCTACCGCATGCCGAACCCCGTTCGTTTCAGAATAGTCACCACCACTTCTCACCAAATGCGCTCCCTGTGGCAGGTCCCTCCGTGGTCATGAAGGGAATCCTCGAGTGCAACTGTTCCAAATGCACGTACCTGGCGAGTACTCATGCTGAACGACTGATGCCTCAAGTAGCACGTTGACCAATCATATGGCTACAGTCTAGGCACTTACCTCTCTCTCCTTCATGTACCAAATACCGTCTGTCGGGTGCCGCCTACAAAACTCGCTCTACGCGGGCTACGCGTTCTACCTTGCCGTTCCTTCTGTTGTTGCGGCACTCACTGTAGGTGGAGAGGTAGTTCTTCGCGCGGTCCCTCCAGTCTGTGATGATTGCTTGGAAGTCTCGTCGCATTTCGATGTCGGACAGGGCCACCGTGCGAACGCGCCGCGCCTCCACTTTTGCCAGGACTGTCAGGTCGTCGATGCGATGGCGAATCAGGGGGGAGACCCGAAACGCATTAACATTTAACAATTGCGTGTTGCATTGCCATACGGCCACCGCAAAACACAGACAAGTGCTTTTACTACGCGGCTTCATTGAAAGTCCGAAAAGTAGAAACATGGACGCCAATTCTGCAGTAGCTATGCATGTGTGAGAGAATGGTGTACACAGGTGTGCATTGTGAGAAAGGGTCTAGATCTTGCGAGTAGACATCGTTCATTACACAAAAGGCAAGATCTGGGGGAAGGCTTCATCGAAGCTGCCGTCCGTGTTGGAGAACACCTGACAGCACGACAGAAAACCACTCAGTTGTGACTAGCACCAGATGGAATCACTGACAAATCAGTATACAGAACACACGAGCCACTCCAGCAGGTTATCTCCCCCACTCATTACAAAGATTTCAACACATCCCCTCCGACTGCTGTGGAAATATCTCGAACAGCCTCTTAGTGATTGATCGTCCTTTTCGTGATTGTATGCATATTTCAATAAACACCTCTCACCAGCTTCGGGCGTAATCTTCTCGAACCGCCGTTCCGGCATCAATCTTGCCCGCTTCTTCCCCAACAGCAAGCCCCCGCTCCCACCACCTCCCGCCTTGTCCTTGACACCTCCCCCCTCCCCACCTACCTCTGACGCGATGCTGCTGCTTGCCGCTGCCGAGCGCCCCAGGAAGAAGTACAGGAGGGAAGTTTTATCGCCGAGGTTAGGTCACGGCACCGCATAACTGTACACACAAGGCGTTTGCTGTTGCTGGCGGGAGGGGGAGGGGGGGGGCGTTCTCCCTCCTCGTTGCTTGCCTGATCATAAAAAATCATCAGTGAAGACGCGCTTGTTTCGAGAATTATGGCGCCTTCCGATAGTGCCAACGCCAGCGCTGGGGGCGCAAGTACCCCATAACCATGTCTCACCAACGGGGGTTATGAGGTTGTGCTAGTCCTCTCCCCCTCCACCCTCCCACCCTTGCTCGGGGTTCGTGGTGATGACAGGCTCGGCTGGGGGAGCGACACCTACCACATTTCAGTAAACCTTGGCATCTTGCGATCGCGCTCACCTCTAGCAGGGTTGGGCGGGACTAGCCCCCCGTCCACTTTGGCCTTTCTGATGCGCTGATGCACGTCATCCAACAGCTCGTCCTGGGTACGCTCCAACTCCACCTGCGTAGCGCCGGCCAGTCCATTTGAAGCGTGTCAGCACAGATGGAGAAGTGGGCAAAACCTCAATCGGCAGCGGGTGTGACAAAAGCGTGGCCGTAATGTGCGAAGACATGTAGCATGTTCGGCCGGCCCGCCGATTTTGTCGGCCTAGTCGGCAACGAAAAGCCTCCTAAGGCACAACTTGCCACAGCCCCCAAACGCCCGCTTGGTTGCATCTGAACCCCCTTCCGGGAAAAAAAAAACTGTGCGACACCTCACATACCTATGCATTGCATGTTACCGCCACAGACGCCAGGTCAGGAGCCATGGCGAGACAACGCAAGAGGGGACGAACAAATGCTCGTCTTTGAAGCCCGCAGTGATACCATAATTGACATAGGGTCCAACCAGGGTCCTACCTTCGTCTGGACGTTCGAATCGCGCGCCTCAGCGCTCCCCAGCTCTTCGATATTCGTGATGCTCAGCTCTGAGTTGCACTTGGCGCTTTCGAGCCGTGAGCGCTTAAGCTTCCCCTGGATTTCAATATCGGCCTTAAGCTTCGGGTGATTTCCTGTTTGATCAAATTTCGCGGGCAGAGGACAACAAAAGGGTAGCGCCTGTAAGAGAAGTTGGGGAAGAAAATACACTTCCTTACAAGTAGCTGTTCTTCGACGGGCTACAGAAATACTACCACCTGTTGCCCCCCATTTATTCCGCTCACGCTCCGGGTTAGACTCAGAGTAGATGATGCCTAGAAGTCGTGCTTCTACAAAGTGGAAGTAGTAATCTACCAACTTCGCAGTAGCATGGCTTCAATACATGGATCCACAGGGGGTCGTGGGGGGGAGTTCGCAGAGCGGTCTTATTCATAGCACCCCCAACAAGCTTTCATTACCAGAGCGGCGGTTGTGTACGCTCACAGAGATGAACGGACATGTGGGTGGGTACACAGGGCAAGTTGCTCCGGCAGATGCATGCCACTACAGCAGTACTCGTTTCCGTTTTATTTTTTCTTTGGAGAAACAAAATTGTGCACGTACAGGATGTATCCCCAAGTGTAGTTTTGGTACAGCGGGAAAGTCAAAGATGGTGCCAGTGAGCACTCCCCGACCGCTGTATGTAGCACCAAGTACCCTGCCACATACATATCATGTGCGGGTGCGCAGCATAATCGATGTATTTTAGTGGTACAATCTACTACGATAACTGCTTGTATGGATACCACGCTGCTGTATGTATGTAAATGACGGACGTGTGTGTAGGGACCGTTTTCTACCCATCAGTCGTATCTACCGTGTCGGTACTTTGGGCAAACACAAGCCATGCGTGGAAACACAGACCATAGATGCCTGCACACTACCGTCAAGCAACAGAGACAGCACCACACAGGCTATAGATCGCGGACGCTCTCCTGGCAGTCGGTCAACCGTCAACATCGACGTCGCCACACATACGTATGATATCAGCCCCCGTTAAAATGATGTTGGTGTGAGCAGCAGTTTGCCCGAGAATCAAGAGGCGACGGTCAAATACACAGTACAGAAAGTACGTTGGGGATCGAAACAAGATGGACCTCGAAACACGAGAGCACAGGCGGCCTAGAATCCTCTGTTGTCGGCAAACTCGGACCCCCAGCGGGCACTCAGTACCTGGGGAGCGGGAGGGCACTGGTGCTGCTGTACGCAGGCGAAACTGCCGCTGCCTGTGAGGTGCCAGTGATGCATACACCCACGTCCGTTCCGACATCCGAATGCTTTGAAGCCCGCTACACACACAGCAGTAGCAGCCGCAGCGGGACGAGCAGCAGCAGAAGCAGCAAGGCTGCGCAGCACAGCAACAACACGGTGCACCGCTTGCTAGCGCCAGGGTTCTCACCTGACTTGATATCCTCCGCGTTCTTGAGCAGCACCTCGTGGGCCAGCTTGAGTGCTGGCGAGACAGCAGGAGGCGGCGCAGCACCGTTCTCCTTTGGGCGCGATTGAGCCACCTCGTCCTCGACGTCCATCTCAGAGCCCTCCGCCCTGCTGACTCCTTCCTTGCTGGTGCTGGTGCTGTTGGCGGGGGACATAGGTCGGGGCGAGGACGCCGACGAGGATGTTGGCGTGTTGGCGGCAGCACCGGCAGCAGCAGCAGCGCTCGCGGTGCTTTGTGCCTTGGCGGCCGCCTCAATGTTGGCGACGGTCTCCGTGGCTGCTGACAACACATCCATGTTTCTGTTGTGCGGGCGGTAGCACACCGTCGTGGCGTGCTGGCTGTGGTGTGGTGAGGAGACGGCCTCTTTCCCGCTGTTTGGGATGAAACAGCTGATTGAGCGAGGCAGCCAGCCCCCAGCGGTTCGAGGTGCCCAGCTGGAAACCCTCTGGGTTTGAACGGCGTCATACAGGGGGGGGCGAAATACCTACACACTAGTTTTCAGGCTACTGTCCCCCCACTACCTCTCCGCTTCTCGCCTTCACACACCCCGGATTCGCGACCTGCCCTTTTCGCACCCTTTCACACCCGCTGCTGCAACTGTACCGGGAACGAACACCGAGCGATCACTCACTCTATCATGGCCGATCCATCTCCTGCTGCCCGGATCGAGGCCCTGCGGAAGGCCGCCATTGACAAAGGAATCGATCTACCCAAGGTATGTTTTTTCTTTTTTGAAATGTCTTGTTCACCATAAGTTTGAAATCGCTGCACGCGAAGAGGCGGGCGCGACCGGGAGAAATAATGCTGTAGAGCGAGGAATAGCAGAGAGAGAGAGCAGGGCTTGTATCTGTGGTGATAAGCTGCTCCGATTAACCTGTGCCGTTTATCCGGAGGGCCGCGCGGCGCCTTTGTCTGCCGGCACCGGGGAGGTTTCTGTTCCGCATGTCCGAGCCAGATATTGCTGACACCAACATTACACTCACGATCGACAAGGCAAAAATGGACGTTTTACTCCTCCGTTTTAGCAAGTGTAGACTATGCGTTTCATGGTAAACAACGGCTCTGGTGCAGCTCCTCTTTCCTGACCCCCCTTTCGCAAGGAGTGGTGCCTGGACTGACCGAGCATACTTGTCATCTCTCTGTTTGAAAGTCTGCACTATTTTCTGCGACGGAAAGACTACAGCAGTCTACTATTCATTCCACAAATATGTACAGATGGCGCCCGCAGTCAAGAACCGCCTACATTGCCGAAGGCTCGATGCTTATTGGCTGCCTCAAATTGAGCACCTGTTCTTATCTTCAAAGTTCTTATTTCGAGCAGGCATATAACACACACAAATCAATTATTTAATTGTTTTTGTTAAGGGTTTGGGGTGTATTATTTATTTTTAGGTTTTGGGGAGACAATATCCGCATCTGAGCAAACACACACGTTGAACCAATGAGAGTCACTCGCGGCGTGATTCTCCTCCCCGCCCTATCTTCTAACGCCCGTCGTAGCTACATTGCGACCTTCACACGCTCTTCGAATGCCGGACCTCATCCCTGCCCTATGACGCGCTCCCCTCAAGCAAAGCCCACGACTCGACCACCGCACCCGCATCTCCACTGTGCTTGTCCAACTTTGGTCGACAAGTAGCTCGAAATTCACACGGTAGTCGCAAAAAGTTTGCTCCTGAGACGGCCGAGTGATCAGCTCTCTAAATTAGCCCATGCTCGGTATTGCAAGTGCTCCACATACAGGAACGAACTGTCAAGAGCAGCGGGTATAGACGCTTGAACTCGAAAACCGGTGGGTGTGATGAAGGAAGAGGTGTCGGAAAGCTATCGTCGCCCCCGCGTCGACTCGATGGTCTCCCAGTCTGACATCGTGGGCAGCTGCGAGCAATGACATGTTCTTTGATGGCCTCCAAATGTCTTATCAAGAATTACACCTCCTTTCAACTTTGACAGCTTGCCGAGCTCTTTCAATATTTCAAGGAGTTAAGACATGGCTCGCGTGTCGACTCGATGGTCTCCCAGCCGGACATCGTGGGCCGTTGCCAGCAATGACATGTTCTTCGATGGCCTTCAAGTGTCGATCAAGAATTACCCCTCCTTTCAACTTTGACAGCTGGCCGAGCTCTTTCAACATTTCAAGGGGTAAAGACATGGCTATCGTGCATGGCACGCATCGTGGCAGGCACCCNCCCCCCCCCCCCCCCGCTCCACCTCCGCACCGACCAAGGTAAAATGTGAAAGCGGCTCCGAGTGCGAACACCGGGTTCATGTAGTTGCGGAATGTCTGTTGTACAAGTGGACGAGGTTTTACGTTACTGAGCCTCGGGAAAGTAGAAGGAGGATACATGGAGATGTTTGAGGCATGGAATGCCAGCTAGGAGAGAAGACGGTAGCTGGACTGTACTGGGGCATATAACGTGGTGGGTCGAATAGGCGGGAAGTGATATCGATAGGAAAAACAGGCTAGGGAAAACGTTTTTGAGACACCTTTTTTGTAAAGTAGGAGGGAACGATTGGCCATCGGTCTTTGGTCCCGTGAGAACGATACTCCGTCTTCTCGAGGACGCGTGGCCGTCGATGGTCTAACCGCTAGGATATGCAAAACATAAGAGTACTACCCCCCCCCCCGCACCAGTATAATTTGACCTCCGCACCAGTATTATTTGAAACGGAGATTCCCCTCCTTGTCGCTGATCTGAAATTACCGGCGGATGGGGTCACGGACACCCCGTGAGTCACCCCTAACCACCTCCGTGAGTTCTTATCTTGCAGCTGCCACTTTTGGGGGGTCTGTTCTTATCCGTTTGCGCTTTGGTACACCACAAATACGAATGCTTGTTCTTAATACCACGTCGGAACTGAGCACGTGTTCTTATGGCCAAGTTCTTCAATTTTGAATTTTTGGAGGCTGCATTTCTTAACTGCTAAGTTCTTAAGTGCGAGCGCCATCTGAATCTTTCCTCCATCTGTATCTTTCCTCCGTGTCAATTGAGATACATAGATGTGCAACTGTAGCTACCGGGGCACAATGTAGTGCGGCACAGAGCCTCGTGACACGTTCCCAGTCGGATACCGCGGCGTGAGCTTGTTGACCTGTCCTATATCCTTAAAATAGTTTCTCCCGTTGCTGCTGTACTTGTACGCGGGCGTTGGCATTGGAGCCCTGCTGTTCTGTAGAACACAACAATGCACTGGATTATTGGTGCTTTTCTTGGCCGTGCGCTTAAACGAACGCGTTGCTCGTTTTAGGCAAAGAAGGAGAGCTCCCGGGAGGTCAAGGAAGCACTCGAAACGGCCGGCCTGGAGGATGAGACCGGCGGCAACGGTGACGAGGAAGCGCTCAAAAAAGCCGCCCTCAAGGTTTGAAGTATATCGTTTTTACGTCGGTGGTCTGTTTTTTAGCCAGGTGTAGTAGGCGTTGTACAGGCAAAATTGGCATATCCAAGACAGCGTCTAGATTCTCCAGAGGGTACGCTGTTTCTATTTTGATTTCTGGGCGCGACATGTTTGGTTCGTGTTTGTTACTGCAAGTGTGACCACAAGCAGCGATGGCGCGCTACCTGTCCTTCGGGACACGTGGCGCTTGTGCTTTTCTCGCCGTGTATCGAGTTCCGTCCCTCCTTGGCCTACCCTGCAGTGGTGAACTGCCAAGTTGCGTAAACAGTTATTTAGCCGCGCTGCCGTATGCATAAGAAAATACGAGATTCGTATGAAGAGGATGGTGACTGCGCTCCACAAGGACCACACGAACCTTGTGATCACTTTGATCGATGCACGCATCCCAGGCCTGTCCAATTTTGGCGTTCTGATGCCCTCGTTTCTTTATGACGGTCGCGCACCGAGGGGCCAGAGCCGATTGTACGGGTACCCCGTGCGTGTTGTCCGTTGCCAGCCCAGTCATCTACAATACGCCCTCGCCGACATCAGTTTTCCCTCGAAAAGGTGCTCATGCACGGCTTTTGCCGACATATGTTGCGTGTGGTTGACCGAAAACACAGATGGGCCTCATCCCCCGCTCTGTCGTCCCCACCTCCCCTCACGGCTCGCTCTTGCGACGTGTCAACACTCTCAATCAACGGATGACATCGCCAGATTTTGGCAAAGAAGTTCGGGGTGAAGAAAGAGCAGCAAAAGGCAACCGGCAAGCGCAAGGCCGATGGTGGCAAAGGAGCTGCCAAGCCGGCGGCCCCTTCGTCGTCTGCTCTCGATGAGGTGCAGGTTTTGTTGCGCTTACGACGAAACAATTGGTTTTCCAACGGGACTTGGCGTGGTACTTGATACCTTTCTCACGTCGCCGTTTTATTTACGATGTTGAGCGATGCTTTGCTTCGTTCGATTTTTGTTTCTATGCGTTCAAGTATAACTTCACTCTGAAGTACAGTCGTCCCCGCGTTAAAGTCACCATTTTTAAAGACACCCCCCGCTTTAAGGACACAAAAAATCTCAGAAACATGGTGCCCCGCAGATGTGACAAGTAGGAGGGGTAGGGATTTCCACCATTCGACCACCCCCAGAAAATGTGATCTACAGCACCTGTAGATCCTGGATCATCAACAGCGGTCTGCTGCACCCGCACACTGCGTGTGGGTGTATGGAAAGATGAATTCCATCTGCTAGCGGTTCGTCTGCTGCCGGCTTGAAGCCATGCGGCGAACCGACGTGCCAGTTCAAATCTGCACTGGTGTCACTAGTTTTTGGTTTCGAGCGCAAAGCACTTTGATTGCCAACGTTCGTTGTTTGCTTTGGGTGAAGTCTCGTGAGGTTGAATTTGGCGTTTGTGTTGTGTTGTGCCTCGTTTTGACCTATCGGGAGGCGCGGTGTCCTCTTTGTCGCTGTGCTTTCCCGACATGTTTGGTCTCTGTGTTTCTGCGTAACCTACATTTTCCTAGTGTCGTTTTACAACCTTCGATATTTCTCATGTGCGGTAGCGAGATCTTGGGCAAGATATTCACGGGGAGGACAACGCCTAAAAAATACAATAAAGCAAATAATTAAGCCCATATCAACACCAGCGCACTATCGTCGTGTACATGTACGATGCGTAGGTCGTAGAACACCATCGCTTTCAGCGTTTTGGTGGTAGAGTACGGGGAAATTCAAACGATGGTATGCAAGTAGTATTGCAGCACAATAGCAGCAGTGGTTGCGACCTTCAAATCACCTTGTGTCGTAGGTTTCAAACAACACCTCTTGTGGTCGCCTTTCTGCTGCGAATGGGCACCTTTTGACGTATGTTTGGCCTTCATTGGCCCCGGGGATGATGCGTTAGTGGCCCCGGAATTTCAAAGACACTTCCCCGCGTTAAAGACACTTTTGGGGGGGAAAACGTGGTGTGGCTTTAAAGCGAGGTCGACTGTAGATGGAAGTGCGTTTTCGCAGGTCCTGGCCGCGACTGACTGTTGTAGAATACTTCGTTTAGATTCTAGCTCCAGAGTTGATTCCCGCTTGTGGAGGCTAGGGCATGTTTGACATTCCTCGCCACATTGAACGGCAGGAAATAGCCAGCCTCCGGTGGCAGATCGAAGCCACCACACTCTGGACTCTCCTCTCACCCAGAGTTGAGGCTTCCATACCACAGCCCTTTATTTCAGTGCACCATATTTTCTATCCGTGCGGTCGTGTGTAACATCCTACCAGGTGTGGGATGTGTCTTCCAAGGAGGAGCGGAGGCAATACGTAGCCAAGCTCATCGAGATCGCGAAGGCGAGGGGCGTCAGGATACCAGAGGTGACCGACCGTGTTTTCGGCTTTCTTCACTACCCGTCACCCCGGTCGTTCAGTTAGCTTGGTGCACAACCTTAGCTCGCTATGAAGGATTCGGACGAGTCTCTCGGGAGGTAATGATCGCACATGTTGAGGTGGACAGCGCATGCTGGGCAGGTAAGAACAAAAAGAGGGAAGGAGTTGCTCAACTCCTCTCGGGTTAATTAATCGTTCAAGGCAAGCACCGCAGCGGGAAGGTGGAGGAAGAATAAAGAGAGTACTACAGGTGTACAGCGTTTACCTTGGTCCTGCGTGACCCAGGCTGGTACGTCAAACCTATTCCGTAAGGTGTGGACTGGCGGCCACAACAAGTTGGACGACATCACACAGTCATGCTTTTAGAGTGCTCCTGCCTGTCGTGTCGACAAAGAGTTCACCGTACGGACGCCGCTTGAGGAGGAGATATGCGTTTTAGACTCAACCCGCGCGCTTTTTACCTTCTCCCAAAGGGTGAGAACGACATGCGGGGCATCAAGGGGCTCCGACGTTTCACGCTTTCTCAATATCACATAGTAGATAAGTAGGTACCACGAGACCCCGTACAACTGTGTCACGACCGAACACACCGAACACACGCACATACATGTCACCGCGTATTGTTCCAATACACGCCGCCGAAGAAGTGCCCCTAGATTTGGGATTGCAGCTCCCTATCTTTCTGCATGTCGTGCACCTTCGCGTTCGTTGTGCGCATGATGGTGTACGTCTGAGCTTGCGCAGAGAGCCAGCGTTGGTTTCCGGCGTAGATGTGCTTCTGTGCCATGCTCTCGAGCATGGTTTTGTGGCTGAGGGCAACGGTCGAAGCTTGGCCGCATGATGGTCATGAGACGCATCTCTCGACTTGCACGCTTGTGCGTGAGTGTATGAAGCACGTGTATTGTCCGTGTCCGTCCCTTGGTTCGTCGAATTCCCTCGGGCAAAGTGCAGGGGTTCAAATGGCGGCGTGGCACCTTGTTTCGCGCCCCCTATGCTCGCCTCTGATGTATGTACATGCGGCTCTGTGTTATCGATGTTTCATCGAAGCGCATGTGCACCAAAGCCACAAGAATACACACCCCACGCGGCAGGATGCTCAAGCAGCGTCGATGGGCGTGGGCACCGTGATCATGGGGTCCAAGGACGCCGACAACAAGCTCAAGGTCAAGGACGCCGTGGAAGAGCTCACCGACAAGTTCGGGAAGGACCCGGCGTGGGTGGACCCGGAAGACTCGGGGCCTAAGAAGAAGAAGAGGCCTAGCACAGCCAAGCAGGTGCGGGTGGGGCGCCGACTACGGTAGTCAGTATGCGAGTTTCACGGCCTCTGTTGGCACCCCTATCGTAACATCATGACAAAGAAGAATACTGAGAAGTATCGATCCGTTTGTTTGTGTCATTTTTTTTTTTTTCTCGAGAACGCACTGCTCAGGGTAGGTCGGAGCTGA